GACAGGATCTCCCTTTAGTCCCGACTGGCCTGGAAGTCTCTATGTAGACCTGGATGGTCTCAATCTCTCGAGATTCACCTGCCTCTTCTTCCCAAGTACTGAGATTAAAGGCATGCACCACCACTCACAGCATAATATATCTTGTTTTAAAGGTGCAAAGAAAAATTTGCCACAAAAACTCACCTCTGGAGAGATGATTCAGTCAATAAAATGCTTACTACACAAGCATGAGGACCTGAGTTTGGATCCCTAGCCACCACATAAAAAGCCAGGAGTGGTGACACATGGGAGTGAGCACTAGGTGTAAGCCTAGTGCTTGGGAGGCGGGGACAGGGTGATCCCTAGAGTTCAATGACCAGTTAGTCTTGCTGAATTGGTAAGTTCCAGGTTTAGTGAGAGACCCTGTCTCAATAAACAAGGTGGAGAGTGATAAAGACACTGTACCTTAACCTCTGGCCTGTGCACATTGGTATATCTCCCCCACATGCACACACACATGAACATATATATACACATGCATACACCATACACACAGAGACATAGTAGTTTTTTTTTTAATTTATTTCAGTGACTCATCCCTATACCTAGCAGATAAGTCAAGGTCTTCTTTATAATTCATTAAAACCCAACTCATTTCACCTTGTTTCTTATCATCTCATTTAGCCATGATGGAGTTTTAGCTGGATAAAGGTCAGTAGGGAATAGCAGAGACCGCCCCCTACCCCAATACTGGCTTAAACTAAAGTTCATTTCTGTCTCTATGGAAATGCAGGTGTTGGCCTTTCAGGGCTGTTATGGGGGACCCAGAGTCCTAACCTAGAAAAATGAATGGCGAGCAAGTAGCAATCTCTGCTACAGTGGAAAGGAGGGAGATTTTGCAAAGAAATGTGTATTACTGGGCAACTCCTATGTTAGGCAGACAAGGAAATGACACAGCAGTATCAAATCTTCATGTGCTCCCAGTTCAGAGCGATTTATCACTGCTAATTAGGTAACAAGTCTGGCTGAGAAAAAATTTCCACTGTGACAGAGACAGAGAAGTGGGGGGAAGGAAGCAATAGCCATCAACACTGACTGGGGGCCTGGAAAAGCCTTCACTAAAGGGGAGATTCTTGATTTGGACATTCGGTGGATATAGCTGAGGAGGAAGAGCAGTCAAAGTAGAGAGAAAAGAAGCACCAAACCTACAGCAGAACAGGAAAATGGTCAGCAGTGAATTTAGGTATGACGCATCAGCAAATACAGGTATGACAGATTAGGGTGTTGACTCAGCTTGTGGCCGAGGCCAAGATGCAGAGAACCTCTACTCTAACCATGTCCACTTTTATTCACTTGAAAATGAGTAACCATGATATTTTAAAGAAGAGACGTGATAGGTGTGTGATCCAGAGATGACTCAAGCTAGATTCAGTCAGATGGGAGCCCATCCTCACTAGAGCAGCAATTACTGGTACAGCACATGAGGAGGTGCAGGCTGACAAAGACCTCAGGGACGTGAAAACCAAGGGAGCTACACATTGAGGAGGTGCAGATTGACAAAGCCCTCCGGGATGTGAAAACCAAGGGGCAAGAGGCTAAGTATTTTTGTCTGCAATGTTTTGGTACAGAAGCTAAACTTAAAAAGAGTTGAATTTAGCCAGGCGGGATGGCACATGCCTTTAATCCCAGCACTTGGGAGGCAGAGGCAGGCAGATTTCTGTGAGATTGAAGCCAGCCTGGTCTACATAGGGAGTTCCAGGTCAGCTGGGACTGCAGGGAGACCCTTCCTCAAAAAAAGACAAAAAAAAAAAGCATTGAATTTATGAATTAAAGACACAAGAGAGGGCTGGAGAGATGGTTCAGTGGTTAAGAGGAGTAGGGTCTGGAGAGATGACTCAGCAGTTAAGAGCACTTGCTGCTTTTGCAGAGGACCAAAGTTTGGTTCCCAGACAACCATCTGTAACTTCAGTTCCAGGGTATCCAATACCCTCTTCTGTCTTCCATGGGCACTGCACACAGATGGTACACTCACGTGCATTCAGTAAAAACACTCATAAAATAAAAAATAAACAAATATTTTTAAAATAATTCCCTCTCAGCCGGGTGTGGTGGTGCACACGTTTAATCACAGCACTCAGGAAGCAGAGGCAAGCAGATTTCTGTGAGTTCTAGGCCAGCCTGGTCTACATAATAAGTTCCAGGCCAGCTGGGACTACAGGGAGACCCGGTCTCAAAAAAAAAAAAAAAAAAAAATCCTTCTCACTTCCTGCAAGAAGAGTGATTCTATAAAACTTTATAATTGATTAACATTTCAGATGCACTAGATTCCAATAAAAGTTTCTGTTCTGAGGGACTGGGAGAAAAGGAATGCCAGTGTGCAGGTGTGCACTGTGATGCCTGATTTACTCATCTCTTTTGACATGCAGCCCTAAATTTCTTGAACTGCTCTCAAAGATTTCCCCATCAATATACAAAAGCATATTTTCTAAGCCAAACTCACTATCTTCACCTCCAGCAGGAGGAGTCTTGGAAGTGAAGATCGTAATCCCAGCACTTAGAAGGTAGAGGCAAGAGGATCAGGATCATCCTCGGCTACATAATGAGTTGAAGGCCAGCCTGGGCTATGTGACAGGGGCAGGGCAGAAAAGAGAGGAGAGGGAAAGGGAGAGGAAAGGAGAGGGGGGAGGGAAAGGAAAGAGAGAGAGAGAGAGAGAGAGGGAGAGAGAGAGATTGAGATTTTAATTTAGGGTCATCTAGATTTCATTTATAGCTAAAGACTAGGGAATAGCATACTAGCACTTAGTGAAGAGCTCAGACTGTAGAAGATTTGCTTGAACCCAAAATTACGTTGAACCTGTGAATCTGGAAACCGGTGTTAAGTGCTGAATAGGAAAAAGTCTTCTGCAGGATAAGGATGGGAGGAGCCTCAACCTAAAGCAGTTACTGACCATTCACCTTTTCTCTAAGGTGTGGAAACCCACCACAGCGTCCATTCCCAAAAACTGAAATTAGATCAGGGTACCCTCTGCATTTGTCCACTCAGGAATGCTTTCACTGCCCTCTTGAGAGTCTTTATTGGAGTTTACACAGAGTTTACATATGTTAAGTGTTCAAGCAGTACAAAACACATAGGAATTTTCCCATTATAATAGTAAGAAAACAAGCACAGCATTCCCAAGGCCGTGGATACTGATGGATACTGGCCCAGTAACAGACTTCCTTTGATTTCTGCAGAAGCATAAAACAGGGGTGGGGTGTGCACCCACCCTGGCATCCCAAGGACAGCTGTCTAGTTTTCCCAGCATCCTGGGAGCACACTGCCCCCGCCTCAAGCCTCTACAAAGTCCAAAGAAGCCTGTTAACTCTTAGCGAGCCAAGTAACAGGAGCCTGTTAACTATTAGTGAGCAGAGTGCTATTGTCCTTCAGGGTCAAGGGGGAAGGTCACTACACCAAGGGTCAGGTCGCAACAATTTCTGCTCCCTGTTTTCTCCACAGCGCTACTGTAAAAGCTATGGAAGAACATGAAGTTCGAGAGGTTTTTATGTTATTTTAAAAAAAGGTAGTTTGGGGCTGGAGAGACGGCTCCAGCTCTTGCAGAGGACCTGGGTTTGATTCCCAGCACCCACATGACGGCTACAAACCGTCCTTAACTCAGGTTCCAGAGGAATCCAAAGCTCTCTTCTGACTTCTGCAGCATTGCACAACATGGGTGCATTCAGATACATGCAGGCAATACACTCATATACATAAAATAAAAAATAAAGCATGGTAGTGCACGCCTTTAATCCCAGCACTCAGGAGGCAGAGGCAGGCGGATCTCTGTGAGTTCAAGGCCAGCCTGGTCTACATAGTGAGTTCTAGGACAGCTGGGGCTACAGGGAGACCCTGTCTCAAAAAGACCAAAAAATAAATTAATTAAAAAATTAAAATAATAAAATGTTTTTTAAAAAGGTATTTTAATCAAGTTCAGTGGTAGAAGGGTTATCTTGTATTTACATGCATTTCACTTCTCCCCAGAAGCATCTTAGAGCCCCAAGTGGACTAAAGGACTAGTTCACAGGGGGCTGGCTTTATTCACTGTTTTTACTTGCACTGGCTCTTAGTAATTTCTGTTGCCAGAGGCAGTGGAGAGAAACTTGCAGAAGAGTGCATTGTTTAAGGAAGGGCCACAATTTTGAAACTATCTTAATTCTTGCACAATCCTGCTAGAAAAAATTTCCCTAAATGAATGCAAAACACTTATTTCAGCCAAGTTCCTCCTGAGAATCTAGGCTGGCCTAGAACTTGCTTATAAAGACCAGGCTGGATTTGAGCTTGGGCTCCTCTAACCTTAGCCTTTCCAGTACTGGGGTCACAGGTACGTGCTACCAGCCTGGTTCAAACTGGAGTTTCCTGATGTCATTTTCCAGGGTGTCTACCATGAGGATATAGCTTTTTTTTTTTCCTTTTCATTTTAAAAGTTGTTTCTCTAATCATATGCAAGAAAGACTTCGAGCCCTGAGGACTTAGCATTGTTCTCTATAAAACAGGTCCTGATCAGATGTTCTCTTATTACAAATAAGGAAGTCAAGGGAGAAAGAGGCTGACCTGAAATGATGAATCAGTACAGACTGCCCATCAGAGCCCAAGGGTGCCAGGCATCTATTCTTAGCATCTCCTATGGTAAGGGATGATTGAATTGATGTCAGGCTCCAATATCTATTCGCTTAAGAAGAGTGCAAAAATACTATTTGGCTTCCTCTGAGTTTCTATAGAGCACTTCATAATTTATGAAGCCATTTCCTATTTAAGATCTTGTTTTGTCTCCTTTCAACTCTCAAAGACAGGCAGTTTTATCATTGTTTTACTAATAAAGAGCAAATTCAAAGAGGTGTAGCAATTTGCCCAAGTTCACATGGTTTCCAAGAGTGGCACGATGAACTAGCTCCATCTTGTGACTTCCCCTCTGCTATCTTTCCGTGAGACATGCTGCCTTTGAAGTCTGCCAGAGCTTCATTGTGTTCCTTTTCTCTTAATACAGATTCAAACAAAGGACTGTTTATTCCCTTCCCCAGCCGGGAAATAAAGGATTCCCTAACCAGTACTTCTGCAACCCAGGGCAATGGTACACCAGCTCAGAAATTAGATGTTTTCCCACTGGGAACACAGGTAACGTAAACTTAGCACATTTTATGCCAGGTATTGGTCCTCAAACAGGGATGCAACTGTTAACAGTTTGAAGCTGATTATAAAATTTCTTCTCTTTAGCAGATGCCTCCATCTCCTGAACCCCTTATATTTTCTAATTCTTCCTTTTGATTAGAAAGTCTTACATTTCAAGGTGACTTTCCCCAAAGCTGTCTCCTCTATGTAGCAGACAGAGAAAAAATTAAAAGGTAAGATGGCACAGAAGTGGCACACAAATAGGAAACTAGAGATCATGCAAGATTTGGGGAAATTTTAAAATGGCAGGTTTTTAGAGAAAAATATGGTGCAAGTAGCTATGCAATGATAATATGAAACTCACTGTGTATGAGCAAATGTCTAAAGAACAGAGCTGGCATCTCCCTCTGCCTCTTCTTTGATCATTTGTAAGCAAGTGAAACTAGAAAATAGCCAGCCAGAGAAGGAAGCAAAAACTGGGATGAATGCAGATTTGAATGATTAGAACTGCCTTAGTGAGGATGGTGAGGGCTCCTTCAGTGTATAATGCCATATTTAAAAAGACAGATTAGCTTTTGTTTCTTTGTTTTTGGAGTTCTTACTTCGGTGCTTAGAAACTATCTCCACTATCATTTTTTTAAATCTTGCTATTGATTTAAGGAAATAGAAACAAAGTCTATTCCAATTTATAGCTGAACTTAAATAGCACTTCTTAGTTTAAAAAAATAAAACTTTTAAGATTACTTCCCGAAGTGAGAGAAAAAGGAAATTGAATAGCTTACTATAACCTTTTAGTTTAACATATAAGGAAGTAGGACTTCTACCTTTCTCTATCTGCATTGTATGTGGGAGCCTGTGTGTGCTGGGATAGAACCTAAGGCCTTGGGCATGCTAGGCAGGCCCTGTACCACTGAGGTTTATCCCTAACCAAGACACTGAATATTTTAAGATATATTTAAAAGAACAAATATTAAATGGCTTTCTTTTTGCTCTAGCTCTTACCTAGTTATGTCTCAGATTAATTTACAGCTTATTAAAACTCCATTAGTTGCCAAGGTGTCATACTTGTAATCCCAGCATTCAGGAGGCAGAAGCAAGATTGCTGCAAGTTTGAGACTATCCTGTTCTATATGACAAGTTCCAGGCCAGCCAGTGCTATTACAGCAAGACCCTTTCTCAAAAGAAAAACAAAACAGCTCTTGTTGGTTCTTGTGGTTGTTGGTATCAGCTTTATCAGAAAGTGAAATAAATATGGAAATCCCTTAAATAGAAAAAAATAAAGTTGGAAAATGTGGCCTGATCTCAGGAAATGGCTCAGTGGGGTAAATTTGGATTCCTGACATCAGTGTAAAAGCTGGTATGAGTCCTTCTGTAACCCTAGCACTACCAGATGAGGCAGGGACAGGGTGACAGAACGCAAATCAATTGCAGGGGCTCAGTGACTAGCCAGTCTAATCAAATAGATGAGCTACTGGTTTAGTGAGCGATCCTGCCTCAAAAAATAAAGTGCAGAGCAATAGAGGAAGACACCTGAACTCACAGAGATCCACCTGCCTCGGCCTCCCGAGTGCTGGGATCAAAGGCGTGCGCCACCACTCCAGCTCACCCTCTGTTCCTTACCATCATACACCCCCGATTTCCCCACCCCTCTGCACCACACATAGAAAAGAAAAAAAATGTATGCAGACAAAATACAGTATTACACTGTTTGCTATGTCCTTCACATTTTAAGGATAGTTTCTGTTTTCAAGGAGTCTCCTTACCTGCTCCAAAACCTCCTTGTATTGACTGTTTCAAAACAGGCTCAACCTCAGACCTCTGCTGGAAGGTCTGTTTCCCTTGCTTTCAGGAATAGACATCCTGGGTAACAGTACCCTGAACCCCCTGGTCCTGTGAACTCATGTCTGAACACTGCCCTTCTTCCTAAACTTTCAAACTTTTTTTAGATGCAGGAAGTGACAAGAAGGGAGATGCCAAGTGACAACCACCAGGATGATGGTAAATATTCTGCTTACTGGGTATTTTCCCCACACTGTTAGAAAAATGTAGATGGGATGAGAGGTATAAGATGACAGTGTGGCAGCTCCAGGTCCTGTTTTGTCAGCTAAGCCTTTTTCTGTTTTCCTCAGGGACTGCCTTGGATACTTAGTGGCCTGTGAGGCTTTTCTGCTTGAAGAGTGACTGTTCTGACCCCATTTATTTCTTTTTCTTACATTCCTTTAAAGTTGTTTTTCTTCTATTTGTTCTTTCTCTCTCTACTATTTTGTAAGTTGTGCACAGTTTTTGTACTTTTACTATTATTCCCAAAATGACAGTATGTTTTTAACTTACATAAGTTAAAAATTATCAATATCTCAAATTTTCTTTTTTTCCCCCTTATTTTATATTTTCTGTCAGACAATTTAAAGACCTTAGAGTACTTTCTCCATTTAATCCCTCCAAGCAACTATGTGGTTTTTGTTGTTTTTTTTTCTGCTTCCAGGGATTGAATCTAGGACCTTGTGTGCTGGTCAAGGGTTCTACCACTGAGCTATGTTCTCTAGCAGTTTCCTATGGCTTTTTATTTTCTATATTTTTTAACCCCACAAGATATTTCTCACATAATGTTTATTTAAATGCATCCATACATTTATGACTTTGTTTTCCTATCTTTCTTGAGCTCAGAAATCCTTTATTAGATCATTTTTTAATTTTATTTATTATTTTTATTTTATGTGTATGAGTGTATTGCCTGCCTGTATGTGAGTGTATACCCATGTCGTGCAGTGTCTCATAGGTCAGAAGAGGGCTTTGGTTTTCCCTGGAACTGGAGGAAAGGATGGTTAGTAGCTGCCATGTGGGTGCTGGGAATTGAACCTGGGTCCTCTGCAAGAGCAGTCAGTGCTCTTAACTGCTGAGCCATCTCTCCAGCCCCTATTAGATCATTTTTTTCCAGCTTACAGTATAAACTTCAGTGTGGGCCTGAAGCTTATTTTTTTTAACATTTTATTATTTTTTTTCATTACAACTTTAACATATTCAGCAACACATTCCAGAGCAAGGATACATCTCTTTCAAAAGTGGCTGTTCTTTTTTTTAAAAATATTCTATTTATTATTTTTATTGTGTATGAGTGTTATGCCTGCATGTAGGTAAGTGCACCCATGTCGTACAATGCCCACAGAGGACAGAAGAGGCCATCGGATTCTCTGGAACTGGAGTTATGGACAGTTGTTAGCTGCCATGTGGGTGCTGGGATTTGAACCTGGGTCTTCTGCAAGAACAACCAAGTGTTCTTAACCACTGAGCCATCCCTCCAGCCCTGGACCTAAAGTTTATTTGTGATGAACTCTTTCAATTTTGTTTGAAAATGCTTCCATTCACCATCATTCTTATTCTTGAAGGGGGTTTTTGATGGGTGTAGACTTCTGGACTGGCAAACGTTTCTTTCAAAATACTGCAGTTAATCTGCTTGTCTTTTCTTTTATGTTTGCTTTTGAGAAGTTAGCTGGGAATCTATTACTTTTCCTCCTAATGGCTGCTTTTAGGGTTTTCTGGGCAGTTTCACTATGATGTACGTATTTACTTAAGTTTGTCCTGCTTGGTATTTATTATGCTTCTCAAATCCATGAATTATATCTCATTAGTGCTGAGAAATACTTCAAATATTTGCATACTGTTCTTTACCTCATTCTTATTCATTTTCGTTTTTGTTTTGAGACAGGGTCTCCCTGTAGCCCCAGCTGGCCTAGAACTCACTACATAGACCAGGCTAGCCTTGAACTCACAGAGATTTGCCTGCCTCTGCCTCCTGAGTGTGGGGATTAAAGGTGTGCGCCACCATGCCCAACTCCACTTCTTATTCTTAATTAAATATATATCTGAGATTTTCACTGTTTTTGTTTCTTATTCATCTATATTCTTCATCTTTTTTTGTCCAGTTTACATTCTGGACAAGTCTCTCCAGTCCATCTTTCTCTTCAGTTGTGTTTAATCCACAATTAAACCTATATGCTAAATTCTTAATTTCAATTGTTTATTTTTTTCTTCTCAGTCCTGTGTTTGGTTTGGTCCTTTTACAAATCATCCAGGTCACTTTCTCTAAGAAAAATTTAGGCATGTTTTACATTTCTTTGAAAAGAATAAACATAGCTGCTTTAGAACCATATGGTATATATTATTTATAGTATCAGAGATCTTTGTAGGTCTAATTTTATTACGGTTTTTTTTCCTACTGGTTTTATCCATATTATTACCTTGGTTTATTTTTTTGTCGTTGTTGTTTTCTAATGTGTGCTTGCTCTTATATTTGAATAAATATTTAAACTAATAAATTATTGGTCTTAAATGCATTTGCCTTTTCCAGAACAAATTTTCATTTGCTTCTGCTAGGTACCTAGAATACTATCAGTCCTGGATTACTTTAATTCCAGTTTAAAGTTCCGTGGATCACCCAGATGATGCAAACCTGGATTACCAAATCATTATCAGAGCCAGTTCATTTCCAGTGTACCTTTACTCTGAACATTGTATCCTGCCCAGAGTTCCCTGTCAATGTGTGTGCATGTTGCGGGGAGGCCATTGTCATACCTCTTCCCTTGGGTGGAACTTGTGCTTTTCTCCCCTTCACCCTAGAATGTCTTTGGAGGCTTTCTGTGCTAATGTACCTTTAGGAGTTCTTGTTGTTCCCTGGATTTGGGCCTAGAAATTTCTTACTATCTTCTTAGCTCTTTGTTGTTTTTAAGAATATATATAATCCATATTTTTACATGTCTTCAAGAAGAGGATTGTCTGGATTATATAATTTGACATTATATAAAAAAATAGAAGTTTTTGCCAGGAGTGGTGGCTCATGCCTTTAAATCCCAGCACTTGGGAAGCAGAGGCAGGCAGATCTCTTTGTTCGAGGCCAGCCTGGTCTGCGTAGTGAGTTCCAGGCCAGCTGGGGCTGCAGGCAGACCCTGTCTCAAAAAGACCAAAAAAAAAAAAAAGTTTTTATACTTAAGGTATTTTTGTTACCTAAAGGTACTGTTCTATGGCTTTTATCACTCTATGTATGCTGACACAGGGTAAACACTGATGGTCTTATCAGCCCTTAGGAACATCAGGGCTAGAAAAATTAATGACTAGCTCAGAAATAGCATATTCAGTTTCCTTAGGAAGACTTTCAAACACGTGAAACTCTGAAGGTATCAAAGAGCAGTCTTCCATTTGGTATGCTGCTCCATTTGCCCCAATATGAGACTTTATGGATGACAAATAAAGAGAAATTATTTATGACTGGGTTAGCACCTAGACCAGGGAGTTTCACAGGTTTTACATTCCCTACCATTTAACTGGTAGCAGTTCCCAGTGAATGACCCTAGAGCCTCTGGGTGGAATGTGGGAGTGAGAGGTGGAGAGGAGTCCATGAAATCATAGGCCAACTATTGCCCACAGACTCAATATATAAAATCACAACTATTGTCATGTGGAGGCACATCAACTTTTTATATGAAATTACTGTCTAGAAGCCAGGTATGGTTGTACATACCTTGATCCCAGGAGTTGGAAGGTGAAAGAGGCAGGAGTGTTATGAGTTCCAGGCCAGCCTGGGCTGCTTGGAGAGACCCTATCTCAAAAAAAAAAAAAAGAAAGAAAGAAAGAAAAGACCAGGTGTGGTGGCGCACACCTTTAATCCCAGCACTAGGGAGGCAAAGGCAGGCCAATCTCTGTGAGTTTGAGGCCAGCCTGGTCTACATAACAAGTTCCAGGCCAGCCAGGGCTACAGTGAGACCCTATCTCAAAAAAACAAAAAAGGAGTGGGGAATACTATCTAGAAAGCTCTGAACCTGCGATTTTAGGAGGAAATTCTTAGGGGATTCATTACTGCTTACACAAATGTCCCACATGTTTTATTGTCATCCATGTGGACGTACTTTCATCATTATGCTACCATTTATTAGAAATTAGAAAATTAGAAACCACTTCTTCCTAAGAACTTTTCCTAGGTTAGTGAACAGAGTACCTCAACTTGGCCAAGATGAATTCTCATCATGTTTTGTTTTGTTCTGATTTCTTCATGAGGGTTAGAATTTAGGCACTGCTCGCCCCGTCAGTCCACAGTCCGATCTCCAGAGAAGATGACTAGAGATGGATACCGAGTATCTTTTCTAGACAATAAGTCTTCTGGTTCTTCTCCAGAAAAGGACATGATACCAAAACCTGATGTGTATCCACTTACCCATGATGTCTCACTGGGCAAATGCTTGGCTGTGGGTGATTCAAACCAGACCCTTCCCTACCAGCTACATTCTGATGTTGGTCTGGAACACTGTGATAGTCATTATTCTCAAACTCTTTCCCTGCGTGGAAGTCTTGTCAAAAGGCCTCCAAAAAGCAAGAACTATCGAGAATACAGCATAAAGCCTTCAAATGACACAAAGGCCACCTCATCTCTTTCTTGTGGAGACTTACTGACTTCTCTGTCAAACCCGGAGTCCAGCACAGGAAGGCTTTTGAAGCTTAGTTCAGGTAATAGCTTCCTGTCAGTTTGCTGGTAGTTTTCACACTTGTGAAGATAGAAGCATAGCTGGAAATTTTGGAATTAATATTTCTTAAATTGTATTTTAGGGTCAATGGAACGTCTAGAAATCTGGAAGGTATGAGTTTAACATGAAAGATATGTTAGAGAAAAATTGTAGAAACATGAGTTTCACAACTACATGTTGTTTATTGAAGTGTCGTCCTAAGACATATTTCCAGCAGCATCTACTCTTCTCCATCACAATCACTGCTCTTCTGAGTTCTTTCAGAAGAAGCCCATTTCAGCGTTAGTAATAGAGATTGGTCTTCAGCTATTTATTAATTTAGTCAGTAAAGTCCATTGAAAACCTACTATGTGCTGGTTACTATTCTAGTTCTGTGAATAAGGTAAGAACAAAATCAAATTTCATGTATTTTATCATATTTTTAAAATTCCTTGCTTTTATTCTAGTAAGGTGATATAAATAATAAATAAGTTAACATAAATATGTCAGTCTGTTAGTGCTGAGATGGAAAATAACACAGTATATAGAGAGCAATAAGAAAGAATTGGTTTTTTATATTGAATTATCAGGGAAAAATTCTCTTATGAAGCATCATAAATGTACAGACTTAAATGAAATGCAATATAAGAAGCAAGGACAACTTGAGGAGAACTTACTAGATAGAAGAGATAGTACAGTACAGAGTTCCTGAGGCTAGTCCAGGCCTGCCACATTCAAGGAACAACGAGCCTGGTGTGGCTAGAGCATAGTAAGGGAAGGTAAGTATATAGATGAAGTCAGAGAGATGGCCAAACATGTATTCTGGGTGAGGTCAGAGGTGGTTGGAGGGTTTGTGGTTTGGAGTAACATATTCTCACTTAAGATTTGCTCTGTGGACCTGGAGAGATGGCTCAGTCAGTAAAGCACTTGCTGCACAAACATGAGAACCTGATTTTGGAACCCCTGAACCCACATAAAAAGCTGGGTGCAGTGGTATACACCTGTAATTACAGGGCTGGGAAGCAGAGACAGGAAGATCCCTAGGGCTTGCTGGCCAGCTAGTCTTGCCAAATTGGAGAGCTCTAGGTTTGGTGAGAGACTCTGTCTCAAAAAATAATGTGGAGAGTGATTGAGAAACACACCCACTATCCCTGCTTCTGCCCATTCATCCTTCTCTCTGAATCTTTGTAGATGCCTCTCCCTTGATGGGAATAAAACTCTAAGAGAGAGAGAGAGAGAGAGAGAGAGATGAGAGATGAGAGATGAGAGATGAGAGATGAGAGATGAGAGAGAGACTGTTCTGGGTGCTAAATTGAGAATGGAAAAGGGGGAAAGGGTAGAAATAAAAGTCACTTAAGAGATTAGAATTCAGATAAGAGTTGGTAGCTTGGATTAGAGAAAACAGTGGAGCTGGTGAGTAGTCAGATTCTGAATATATTCTAAAGAAAAATACTCTGATTTGCTGATGGGCCAGGAGTAAAGTATGGGAGAGAGAGTCTTGGCTCCAAGGTTTCAGGTCTGAATACCTGGAACAATGGAGTTTTATTTACTAAGATGGAAAAGAATGGGAGAAACAAGTTTTAAGATGTATATCAAGAGTTTGGCTGTGGGGGGGAGGGCGCTGGAGAGATGGTTCAGCGGTTAAGAGTAGTGTGGCTAACAATTGTCCATAACTCCAGTTTGGTTTTAGATATCTTTTCTTATGTGTATGAGTATGTATTGCCTACATGTATGTAAGTGCACCCATGCTGTGCAATGCCTGTAAGAGGTCAGAAGAGGGTGTCAGATGGAGTTATGGTAGATGTTAGCTGCCATGTGTTGCTGGACACCAAACCTAGGTCCTCTGCAAGAACGGTCAGTGCTCTTTAACCACTGAGCCTTTTCTCCAGTCTCTGATTTTAGATATCTTAAGTTTTGGGTTTTTGTTTTTGTTTTTAATGTGTATGCCTGTATTGCCTGCATGTATGTAAGGGCACCTGTGTTGTGCAATGCCCACAGAGGACAGAAGAGGGTGTCAGAACCCCTGGAACTGGAGTTATAGATGGTTGTTAGCCACCATGTGGGTGCTAGGATTCAAACCTGGGTCTTCTGCAAGAACAGCCAATGTTCTTAACTGCTGAGTCATCTCTTCATCCCTAGATATCTTAAGTTTAAGATACCTATTAGAAGTTTCCAGGGATGCCAACCTGATAATTGGACATAATAGTGTGGTGTTCAAGAAGAAAAAGTAGCTGGAAATATAAAACTGAGGATTCTAGGGGTATGGAGACATTAAAACTTGGAATGAATGAGAGGCTCATCTAGGGAATAAACAAATAGGAAAGAGATCTAAGGACAGACACTGAGCCGTCTGAAAATTTGAAGTTGAACAGATGAAGAGAATCTACTATGGAGGGTGAAAGAAGAGGAGAAAAGCCAGGAGAGAGTAACATTGGGATCCAAGTGAAGAATGTGTTCCAAGAAGGAGGAAGTAATAGTTCTGTGTCAAGAGTTGCTGATCTAGGGAGGTAACTGGGACTGATGGTTATTTGGCAGTGCAAAAGCATTAATGAACAGCTTCAGGGGATATAAGAAATAAAAGTCTCATTGAGGAACATTAAAGAAAAAAACTTGGGTGTACAGCAGTTGAGTGCCAAGTATATACAAGTCCTTCAGGGGGTTTGGAATAGTACAAAACAGAGAAATGGTGCAGGGGATGGGGATCCCTTAAGACCTCTAGATTGATGATGTAGCAGAAAAGAGAACCATTACAAGGGGAAAATCCTTGTCTAGTCAAGAAGAAATGGAATCTAGTCTACCAGTAAAGAAGTTGGCCTTAAATGAAGCCCTAACAGTTCATCAACAAGAAGGAGGCAGAGGATTTATTGACACAAATATGTCAGTTGATAGATTTGGTACTGAGATGGCATGGATTTTTTTTTTTTTTTTGTCTCTGTTCTCTTGGTAGAATCGGCATCTGAGGAAAAGGAGAGAAGAGATGATAGTCAAAGTTTGAAGGGAAAAGATATGTGAACAAATCTCAGGAACTAGAATAAACTGACCAGAATAATATATGAGGACAGTTTGGCAGCAGTAAGGGTCCAGATAGTCTAGTGGTCATGAGTTAAAATGAGGAAAATCAGAACAGATGTGTGTTGTTCTTCAACCATGTTCCACGGCTCTGGTGTAGACTGGGAACATGTAGACAGTTGCATTTAACCAGAGTTGAGGTTTTGTAAGGTGGAGGGAGACAGAAAGGATCCAAAGAATTAAAGGTATATGCTAAGGAGTAGTTATTATGACCCTAGATGCGAAGCATAAGAGAGTTGAAGCCCAGGCTCATTTCCAGCCTGTTTCCTCCGCAGATCTGTATGCCACAACCCATTTCAACAGTGACCCTGTTCTGCTGGCCAACGTAGAGCAACAATTATCCAGCAACCTCAGTGATTTTGCACCAGCACCTGGTTCTCTCCCAAACAACCCTATCCTGGGAAACTCTGCGAGAACACTGCTGCTGCCTCCGGGGGCTTCCAATAACATGGAGATTCCAACCAAGAGGTCATTAAGCCCATTGAGGAGAGGTTTCAAGCAGAAGGACAATATTCTTGCCAACCTAAATCCAAAGCATGGTTTCCAAGATGCTCCAGGCCATGAGGCAAGCATTGGCTTGTTTGTGTGTGTGTGTGTGTGTGCGCGTGTGTACGCACAAGAAACAAGAAGGCTCAAAGACTAGACTGTGTTCCTGTTGGGGGTGGGGTGGCTCTCACCTATAGCGCTATATGTTGTAGAAAATTTTCAGAGGCGTGTGGCCCATATTACCTGTGATTCTTCTGCCCTTGGGAAAGTTATCCCCTGACTGCCACCATTTTTAAAAAATTTCCATCACAAGGGAATTAACCCTGATCTACCTCTAGAGCATAAACATGGTGGGGCTGTACTTTAATAAATGTCCTGCAAGAGTTTGCCAACTAGAGGTTGCCACAAATAACTAACTTACTTGAAATAGTTCTTATAAAACCATTGTTTTATTTTTCTAAACAGAAACGCAAATAATTCCAAGTTTTTTCCAAAGTAGTCACAAGCAAATGAATTAAATTATCAAGAGATTTTTCTTTTAGCTGAAAGTGGCTCAGATAAACAAACAAATAAAACAAAGAACCATTCCTAAATATGTAATATAATTCATTTTCATAAAATCATGAGAGTGTTAAACAATAAAACTTCAATATTTTTTAGTGCTTAAAAGTTTTTTTTTAAGTTCTTATTAAGTTTTGTTCTGCTTTTGTACATTCCTCATGGAGAATGTCTTTCATTTTCCTGGCTTGTCAGAATGTTAATTTTTCTCCAGGTCTTACTGCCATCTTGAAACTTTATCTTAAAGAAACCACAGCTCTCTCTCTCTTGCTGGGCATGGTGGCGCACGCCTTTAATCCCAGCACTTGGGAGGCAGAAGCAGGTTGATCTTTGTGAGTTGAGGCCAGCTTGGTCTACATAGTGAGTTCCAGGACAGCTGGGGCTACAAGGAGACCCTGTCTCTAAAAAGACAAAAAAAAAAAAAAAAAAGAAAGAAAGAAAGAAAGAGAAAGAAACCACAGCTCTCAGAGCCAAAGATCCTTTGAGTCTATGATCCTCTGAATCATGTATCAGTCGTTTACTGCCCTGTAAGGAAGCAGGGTATTGGTCAAAAACAACTATCTCTAGTCACTTATGTTTTCAGTTGTTGGAAATCTTTTTGTACGCTGGGATGAGTTTACAGAAATTGTTTCTTGACTCTCTGAATACTTCCTATTCAGTTTTCAGAGTTTTGGAGGTGAGGGCCGGGGCTGTTCGTCAGTGGCAGGTTGCTTGCCCAGTATATGTGAGGCCCCAGGTTCAATCCCAAGTACCACAGATAAAGGAAAGGAAAAGAAAAAAGGAAATTTGGAAATAGTTATATTTTTTGTGTACCAAAGGGGGCAGTCTTGTAATACTTTATTTTGGGGCTGTTTTTACATTTCCAGCCACAGATACCTATTTTATCAGAAAAAAACACTAACAATGTGATGGCATCTGAAGGGTGAATGCACAGCAACACTTGCAATATTTGGATGCTATATTTTCTAAATGGTCTAGGAAAAGCGTTTACTTCTATTTTTTATTATATTATTAAAGTCTCTGCATTTTCGGACTATCTTTAAAACTCCCATTTTTTTCCTGTTGAATTATGTTTCTTAATATGGAAGACTTTTAAAGGGCTGCTTGAATATAAACATAAAAGCAGAAGTCTTTTGCTTTTAGGAGGTTCCTGGAGAAAGAACTCAACCTCACACATGCTAGGCAAGCACTCTATCACTGAGCTACATGTCTCGCGCCCTTGAATATAAACACAAAAAATGTACTGTTCAGCTTCTGAAATCTGTAATTCAAAAATTGCTAAAAAGGAAAGCAGCATGAAGCTTGGCATAGTGGCATGTGCTTTTAATTCCAGCACTCCACAGATCCAGGTCAGCCTGGTCTGCACAGTGAGCTCCAGGCCAGGAAGGGCTAAAGAAAGAGACCCTGTCTCAAAAAAAAAAAAAGGCATTAAAATATTTTGAAAAAATATTTTTAGTGACTGGAGAGATGGCTCAGTGATTAAGAGCACTGACTACTCTTGCAGAGGACCTGGGTTCAAATCCCAGCACCCACATGGTAGCTAACAACTGTTCCGGGTGATCCAATGCCCTCTTCTGTCCTCCGCAGGCACTGCACTTACATACATGCAGTGCAGTTACACACATGCAGGCATAGCACTTATACACATAAAATAAAAATAAATAAATAAAAATTTAAGGCATTTTTAAAACTCACAATAATCTGACAAAGCACAAAGTTAAACTGCATGAATTTATAACTAGAAAATTTACTTTTGGAATTTTTTAGATTTTGGGTTTTTTTTTTAATTTATTTTACAAATGTATAAATGTTCTGCCTGCATGTATGTAAGTACATCTGTGCATGCAGTGCCCATGGAGGCTAAAAGAGAGCCTTGGATTCCCTGGAGCTGGAGTTACAGATGGTTGTTAGCTGCCTGTGGGTGCTAGGAACCGAACCTGGTTTCTCTGCAAGAGCAGCCAGTGCTCTTAACCACTGAGCCATTTCTCCTGCCCCGAAAATTTATTTTTGAGCAACTAAATTTAGAGGCACAGTCAGATTTTAAAAATTAAGGCAGATATTGAACTAAATCAGCCATAAGGCATAGTTTACTAGAGATTAAAAGATCCAGTTGGCCATGGTGGCGCTTGCCTTTGATCCCAGCACTCGGGAGACAGAGGCAGGAGGATCTCTGTGAGTTCAAGACTAGCCTGGTCTACATAGTGAGTTCCACGCCAGCCCCACTACAGGGAAACCCTGTCTCAAAAAGACAAAAAAAAAATTCATGAAAGTAACAAAATTACCTAAAAATAAAAATTGTGCCCACTCCCCAGACTGTGATGAAGTGATAGAAGGCATATGTAAATTTCCAAGTTGCTCCCTGCTATTCATACAGAATTAAAATCCAAAGAAAACCAGTGACAAGCTGGCTATGGTGGAGCACACCTATAATCCCAGCATTTGGGAGGTTAAGGCAGCAGGATCAGGAGTTTAGAGCCACCCTTAGCTACATAGCAAATTTGAGGTCAGCCTGGGCCACATGAGACTCTGTCTCAACAAAGAAAAAAAAGAAAAACACAAAAGAAACCCAGGAAATACCCATTTTTTACAAATTCCTATAAAATAGCCTTGTGATATGACCTGACTTTTCTACAGCTTAATCCAGATGACTTAATCAGGCTGACATCTTAAATGATCCCATCTTCCCCCACTTCACATGTCCCCAGTCCTTCTTTACTCTGGACTCATGATCAGACTTACTGAATAAATTTTTTCCCTACCAATCATAGACCAGATGTGTGACTTAACTCATAAATGTTACTGTCTTGAGTGTTGTGTTTCATTAGCTAATTAATCATCCCTATTTTTTTTTACATCAAAAGAGCCAAGAATTGAGAAATAATTTGTTTTTAATTTATATCAGATTGTGTGCATGTGTGCGTATGTGTGTGTGAGTGTGTGTGTGTGTGTGTGTGTGTGTGTGTGCTAACTCAAGAAGTTAATGGGCAGGTTAAGCAATCAGGGCTCATAAATGTTACTGTCTTGAGTGTTGTGTTTCATTAGCTAATTAATCATCCCTATTTTTTTTTACATCAAAAGAGCCAAGAATAGAGAAATAATTTGTTTTTAATTTATATCAGATTGTGTGCATGTGTGCGTGTGTGTGTGTGTGTGTGTGTGTGTGTGTGTGTGTGTGTGTGTGAGCACGCATACACATGTTGCTGGGGATGGAACCCAGGGCAAGCACCTACCACTGAGCTACATTCCTAGCCTGTATTAGTTTTTTAAGTCCATGCAACTCTATAGGAAAGACTAGAAGAGAGACCCTTACAATAAAATACATATAATATGAATGTCAGGTTAGAGGAAATAGAAGCAACTGTGAATCTTACTATTCAGACCTATCTAATCTATGATTTGAAAACATTTTTTATTTTTTTTATTTTATGTGTTTGAGTGTTTTGCCTGCATGTGGGTAAGTGCACCACGTGCGTGCAATGTGCAGTGCCTACAGAGGCCAGAAGAGGGTGTCAGGTCCCTGGAATTCGAGTTTTAGGCAATTGTTAGCCACCGTGTGAGTGCCAGGAATCGAACCTGGGTCCTCTAGAAGAACAAGTGTTCTTAGCCACTGAGCCATCTCTCCAGCTCCTTTATTTTTATTTTATGTGTATGAGTGCATGTATGGTAGTACATCACATGGGTGTAGTGCCAAAGGAGGCCAGAAGAGGGCGTTCAGTCCTCTGGAACTGGAGTTATGGAGAGTTGTGAGCCAGCAAGTAGGTGCTGGGAACTGAACCTAGGTCCTTAGCAAGAACAGCAAGTGCTCTTAACCACTGAGTCTTCTCTCTAGTACCCTATCTATGGTTCTTATTGAGTAAAAAAAAAACTGTCTTAAAGGGCTAGAGAGATGGCTCAGCAATTAAGAATCACACACTGCTCTTGCAGAGGACCCAAGTTGGACTTCCAACACCCTTGTTGGGTTGTTCACAACCACCTGTAACTTCAGTTCCAGGGGGTGGGGGATCCAATGCCTCTGGGCTCTTTGGGCACACACACATAATTTAAAATAAATTTTATAAAAAGAATGTATTTAGGGGGGGTCATTTTGAGACAGCGTCTCCCTGTAGCTCCAGCTGTCCTGGAACTCACTATGTAGACCAGGCTGGCCTTGAACTCACAGAGATCTGCCTGCCTCTGCCTCCCGAGTGCTAGGATTAAAGGCGTGCACCACCACGTCCAGCTAAAAAGAATGTATTTTTTAAACAGATATCTTAGTTAAGAGTGGTAGCATATGCCTTCAATTCCAGCGCTTGGGAGGCAGAGGTAGGCAGATCTCTGTGAGATCAAAGTCAGCCTGACCTACATAGCTAGATAGATGATAGATGATAGATAGAAGGTAGATAGATGATAGATAGATGGATGGATAGATAGATAGATGATAGATAGATAGATAGATAGATAGATAGATAGATAGATAGATCTTTAGTATTTAACCAAACAATAACATTCAACCTATAATGTTTAAAATGTTAGAGTGCATTTGTATTTATTATATATTATAGTAAATAGAAGCTTATTATGAGTTATAATTTCTCATTAAATTATTCCCAATTTTACTTTATCATATATGGCACTTTAAAAATGTTCTTTAGTTTAATATTACTATATTACATAATACATTAAACCATTTATGTAGGTGTTAATATATTCTGAAAACATCTATAAAAAATCATGATAGAAAATCCTAGCACCTTTGAAATTGTGCTTGAGGGTCTGGAGATGTAGCTCAGTGGAGAGCACTTGCCAAGGAAGGTTTAATCCAGTACCATCAAAGAAAAGGAAAGAAGAAACATGAAATTTCCCTTGAATATCTTACGTGCTTGCCTTGGACATAAATAATGTGCTATTCAAATCTAAACCAAAAGATGAAACTTTCTTTACTTAGAAAAATTATTAATGTTTTAAATGTCTGGATTCTTACTTCCCTTATTGTGTAAAAATGACACAAATGGTTCTATTTTTGTTTTGTTTCTTTTTTTCTTGAGCTTCTCTCTAGTGACCTGGGCAGTTTGCATGGTTTGCCAGGAAACCATAGTCCCCCAATCTCTGCCAGAACCCCCCATGTGGCCGCTGTCCTCAGCCACCTCCTGGAGCTGGTGGATAAGCATTGGAGTGGCTCTGGCTCCCTCCTCCTAAACAAGAAGTTTCTTGGTGAGTGCTGGCATTCTTGGTGCCTGAGGGAGGGCTCAGCCTTGCTTCCGCTTGTGCTCTGTTCACAGTCACCCGGTCCCCTTAGCCTGTGAGTAAAACTGTGAACCACCACAGTTAGCAAATATGCATTTTTCTCATGTTCATCTATCTTTTTCTTTTTCTTTTTTGGAGGGTATGGGCTTGGGGGTTTATTTTGTTTGTTTTTTGAGACTCGGTCTCACTGTGTAGCCCTGGCTGGCCTTCAACTCACAGAGATCCACCTATCTCTTAGAGTGCTGGGATTAAAAGTGTGCTCCACCATGCCCAGCTCATATTTTTAAAAATATTTTCTTTATCCCTTAAAAACAAAAACTAAAGAAAAAATTTGTATTTTTTTCACTTACAAGAATACTGAGTTCAAGGCCAGCCTGGTCTCCATAATGAGCTCCAGGACAGTAGCTGGGGCAACAGGGAGACCCTGTCTCAAAAAGACCAAAAAAAAAAAATTTTTTTTTCTTTATTATTTTTATTTTATGTGTATGAGTGTATTACCTGCATGTATGTAAGTGCACCTGTGTCATGCAATGCCTACGGAGGCCAGAATAAGAGGGCTCAGATCCCCTGGAACTGGAGTTATAGACAGTTTTTAGCTGCCATGTGGGTGCTAGAAACTGAACCCGGGTCCTCTGCAAGAGCATTAGTGCTGTTAACTGCTAAGCCATCTCTCCAGCCCCTCGTTTTTTTCAATCAGCAATCTTTCCAATTATTTTATTCCTCCTATGGTGTGTGTGTGGTCTTTGGTAATACACAGAATGATCCGATATGCTTACTACAAAGTACTTATGTTAATAATTACAAAAGATTTTATGATTCTTTTGGAAGTGCCAATAATGAATACAACAGAAATTAGGTTTGATCATGGGATTTTACAAGGACTGTTGAAATGTTGATTTGAAAAACTAAAATAAATAAATGCCTGGACTCTTTTTTTTAATTAATTAATTTTTAAAAACATTTTATTTATTATTTTATGTGTATGCATGTATTGCATGCATGTAGGTAAGGACACCTGTGTCGTGCAATGCCTGTGGAGGCTGTCAGATCCCCTGGAACTGGAGTTATGGACAATTGTTAGCTGCCATGTGGGTGCTGGGATTTGAACCTGGATCTTCTGCAAGAACAGTCAGTGTTCTTAACCGCTGAGCCATCTCTCCAGCCCCTTATTGATTGATTTATTTTATTTTATTTTATTTTATATTTTTGGTCTTTTTGAGACAGGGTCTCCCAGTAGCCCCAGCTGGCCTGGAACTCACTA